GAGTAACTCAATGTACCTCAATATTTAATCGACGTTCATCAATTTTTTTATTCTGCTTACTCCGTTTACTCCCTTTAAGAATATGATTCTCATATTAGACGTCAGTTTGTAAACAAAGTAAGCCCAAGTGTGGCGACGAGAACCTCCCCGCGATGAAGATGCCCTAACGTCGACGGCGCCGTGCTCGGTACACTGGGACAGCGAGTGCCAACTGACACCGACAGACAGATGAGCGTGTTGTTTATTATTGATAAGAGTGATAGTGCCGTGATAACACCACGCGTGCATTCATTGAAAGCGCTATTAAAGTCTAGATAAACCTAGTTTATTAGTATATACAAATTAAAATTAGTATTTACAGTTACTACAAGTAAGTAAATCTTGAAATATAAAATGTGAAATTATATGCTAAAGCTTACATCAACCACGCAAAATTTACTATCCTAGTTTCGTAACCTAAAATTGAAAAACCACCTAAAGGGAAGAATCTCGTTGTTAAAGTGAAGATACTGAAAATTTGTAGGTAATATTATATATATTCTAAACATGTATACTTATAATAAAACACTTACAGCTAAAGCATATTCCAACAACAACAACCGTGTATTGGATCGCTTGAAAGAGTTTCAGTGGCTACACCCAAGTGTATCCTGAGGCTTTCGAATAGCCTATGCAAGAACCTGAGTAGAGATGAACCAGCCTAAGGCTGAAAGTCTCGTTAATAAAGAAAAAAAAATGGAAGAACCTGTGCCGGTGTCTGCTTACTACCAGCAAGAACTTACAGTTCCAGCCACCTTTCAGCAGCTGTTCTTCCTCCTCAGCAGCCAGTCCCAGTTGTCACTTCAAAGGGATCATCCAGTAGTCGTAACAGCAGTCCATTGAAAATGGTAATAGCTAACTCCGATCCCCTTCTCGTTAGCACCATGCAAGTTAGCTAAAGCGTGAAGATTCCATCACAGCACATCAAACATAGCGTGATGAGCAATATTCCAACCGTGGCCCGTCCAATAAAGTCCACCGCTACAGTTTCCGATTTAGAAAACATCTCCCCGGTGGGGCAACAATCGATTAACACCCAATTCCAGCTCCGATGGCAACGCTACCATCCATTACCCCCGCGGAATGTTCAGCCAGAGCAGCCGCCGTCATTTCCCATGCCGAAGAGGAGGATGACGTTGAAGAACCGCTACCAATGTTTCCGGTGAGTGCGATCCTCGTTTGGACTTCAGTCGATCAACGATCAACCGGATGAAATTGAAGTAAAAACCGGTCAGGGAGACGAAGAACAAATCAAGCTGACAGATTATCTTCGTCGACTTTCTCTTTGCATTCCCACGGCCATGTTAAGACCAGGATCGTCATGAGACGTGATTAAGTTCACAAGATCGCTACCAATCACTCAATATCGTCAGCGCTGCCGCTATGAACTTAGCCAACGAGAAAGCGAAGAACACAAGTATGTAGTAATGTTCTACTTTATAGGATACTGCCATCACGGTGGTGTATCGCAGAAACGGGATCGGAAGGCACATCAGAAGCACCAAAAGAGGAAGGATGGATGTCCACCGTCACTAGAACGGCACAGTGGTAATTCAGAGCTCAGTTCGCAGTTTCATCCAGCGGCAGTTTACCAAGCCATGGGATCGGGGGTTGCTTCAACGAATATTGTAGTACCGCACGGGTACGTAAATTGCCGGATTTCGAGTATTTGGTCAGGCAGACCGAGTTTTTCCACTATATCAAGCCGGACACAATCATTCGCCCTTGGTAAGTGTAAGGCAGCTAGGCAGCAATAGGTTCCGTTCACGTTCACGTTCACAGATGATGCAGGATAATCAAATCAATCAATTTAATAGCGAATTCGTTTATTATTCAGTTCCAACCTGGATCGGGTATCAAGATTGGGTACGCTTGTTTTCTGACAAATGTCAGTTTGATCGTTTGTTTTTAAAACCCAGCTCAGGTTGAGGTTCGCACTGACAAAAAGTTCGGTTTTGCACTGGGTTGGAACTGGTTCCAACCCCGATAATAAACGAATACACTATAAATGTCTCCGAGTTTCGCTGAGATACTACATGTTTTTTTTTTATTATTATTGTTTTGATTGACAGCAGCTTTTCGACTTCGCATGTAGGTTGCTGTGATGTGAAAAGTGAGAAAGCAAATGACAGTGATCTTTCTCACTGAGCAATGTGAGTTACTCGAGGTGCATCAAAAGCAACTCAAAAATTGCTCATCATTAGGAGCTGTCTTGCCCCTAGTTTTCGACCCTTCATACAGCGATTTGCTGATGACAATCAGAGGTTATTAAGCTTGATCAAGTTCAAAAGTGAGGAGAGCCCACAGCTATCGGACTAGTTTCCGTGCTACAATGAGTGTTTGATCACTATCATCACCACCATCACTATCATCATCATCAACACTGTATTCTGCAGTGTAAAATTCTTCGGTGTACACATCAATTATATTTACTTTTTTGACATGAGTATATGACGATGTTCCCGGTAGTGACCGTCGTAGGTATTTCGCTTCTGTTGAACTTGAGCTCATACGGGTCCACTCCTGTACCGATCCTTTACACCCGGCACACACTGGGGCAGATTAGTGAATTTCTCGGAAAAAATAATAACTTTTGAACGATGCATCCACTCAGATTACTGTATTCAGTAAAGTTGCTTGTATTAGTTAAGCGCTTCTTTTGAATAACTTAATTAGTTCGCAACATGGCCGTAGAGATGGCGCGCGAATCTAACTTTTGAATAAAGCGTCCTAGACGTATGGTGTTTTCTACAAAGTTGTTTATCTATTAAAATGAAGCAGAATTGGTCAATACATGAAACTTCCATAACCTTTAGTTTTGGAGATATTATTCTTGCTGCCAGAGTAGACCCTTTGGTGCGCAAGCTCATTTGAGCTGCAAATGTTAATTCTTGTTAAGAGTGGGTGGATCTCAGCTCCTAGGTTTTGAGCTGTTTAGCATTCCTCGAGCTGTTCAGAGCATTCCTCGAAACTTTTCACTGGCAGGTTTTTTAGGAGAAAAACCAAAATTGTGAAAACTAATTGAAGCATCAAGCCAGTGCTGATTAGCTTTAAGAATTTTGTCATTTCCTCGCTTTGAATCCTTCCATCTTTTCTTGAAATCGGATGCAAAGAAGCTTAATCTTTTATTGACCTCACCTCTCTGATCAGTTTTAGCAATTTGTATGGAGTACTTGTATGCTTGTAGATATAACAATTGACGATCCAAATCTGTGAACCCAGAACTCCTCATTTTTTCGAAAAGAAATCGAAAACTCAAAAAGTAATCCGCGCATCCTGATGCAAAAAAATCATAAATTCACGATCACGTTTGCACGGCAGCACACAGCATGCACGATGATGTCACACACACAACTTTACGTGGGTAATGCAGCTGATTGAGCTGGTTTCTTTGCCTTGGAATAAGCTAAAAACACTGCAATTCCACGAATGAGTTCGTTGACAACTCATAATAAGTAAACAATCCCAAAATTTAGCACAGCATTTAAAAATGGTGACATGTCAAACATTTATATAATGTTATTTTCAATATAAGGGATATTGGGTTTACAAATACCTAAAGAAATTAAAAAAAAATCATCGAATATCATGTCTTCAGTTTTCTGGTATATGTTAGACGATGACAAGAGCTAACAAAAGAAACTAAGTCCAGCTGCCCTTAGCTGCCATTACGAGAATCCCACCCACCTAGAACACAGACAAAATATCATGTTTTTCAAGAATACTTCACTAAAATCAATAAAAATTTCACAAATAGTTTTATTAAAATTCTCACCTAGTTTGTTTTCATTACAATAAAGTCAAAAACTAGAGCAAACATATGAAACTATATAAAAAAGTTGTGAACTAAGAATTTTGAGTTCATATTTTTTAAGACACCCTTTATCTCCGAAACTAAAGGTTATAGAAGTTTCATGTCTTGTGCAACTTTGTTTCATTTTGGTAGATAAACAACTTTGTTGAAAACACCACGCGTCTAGGACTCTTTATTCAAAATTTAGATTCGCGTGCCATCTCTACGGCCATGTTGCGAACTAATTAAGTTATTCAAAGGAAGCGTTTAACTAATACAAGCAACTTTACTGAATACAGTAATCTGATTGGACGCTTCGTTCAAAAGTTATTAATTTTTTCCGAGAAAATCATTGATCTGCCCCAGTGTGCGGCGCTTAAAGGCCCAAGCGCAATGACAGCGGAAACGGAACGGCAGCGGCAGCGGAAAAGCCCGATCTGAGTAAGCCCACTTGTCGGATTGAAAACAAGTTAGAACCAAATCGACATAGGTTAGGCTTCTTGATGTCATTTGTGACAACTGTCAAACTTTCCGTTTCCGTTCCGCTTCCGTCCACATTGCGTTTGGGCCTTAACTGTCAGCATACCGAGACAAATGAATTAAACTCATTCAAATCAAATTGAAATCGGAAATTTCGTTTACAGTAGAACCTGTCACATTAGAACAATGTCTACTTTGATGAAGCGGAAAATGAAAAAAAAAATGCTCGCCACCTTACTGTCATAATAGCCTGAGATTTGTCAAAAAAGTAAATTTTATTGATGTATGTATCGAAGAATAGTAGCCATGAATTTTATGCTCTATTCTAGGCACCAGAAACACTGAGCAGTTGATATCAGTTACATAAACCATTAATAACTTTTGTTTTGATGGAAAAGTGGTCTCCAAGAAAGTTGTAATTGCTATCATTTTTTAAAGCAGAATGAAATGGTGAATATTGAGAGACACGAATAAAAAATCTGGTTTTCCTACAGTAATTTCCATGTAAATTTCAAATGGTTTGTGCCAAGCCAGTTTCTTGTGGGAGGCTAATCAGGAATCAATTTGGAATCAGTTGAGCACTGTGGAGCGACAATTTCAAATGTTGCCTCAGTCTCCTAGACAGCCATAATTAATTTGGTTTAATTGTATTTTAATTGTCGAATTCTCTCTCCAATCTTCCCGCCAGGTTCGCGAGCACTACGGCATCCAACGGTCGGAGGTTACATTCAAAACTATAGATGAAATCAACCAGAACCCTACGCTTCTGCCAAACATCACCCTGGGAGTGGAAATCAGGGATTCCTGCTGGTACGCACCAGTTGCTCTTCAGCAAAGCATCGAACTGATACGGGATTCCATATCACCCCCAACGGGCAGCATTGCTTCCCCGCGGAATGTTAGCGCAGGGGGAAAGCACTCGAATGGCATGTCCAGTCTCACCCATCAGGATGTGTGCTTGGTAAGTTGTCGAAAGTAGCAAATTCAAATTGGAATAATATACTAATTTGCCAATTCGATCAGGCAATAAATCAAAACATATCGCTCGATTACAACGGTCCCATCAACAAGCCTCCCAGTAAGTTCCACCAAACACTGGTTGGCGTAATCGGCCCCGGGTCCAGTTCGGTTGCCCTACAGGTAGGTGTGTTAAAGTAAACATAAACCGTCAGAGCCACCCACAAGCGTCAATCTCCTACTCTACTCCGATAGGTTCAAAATTTGCTTCAACTCTTTTCGATTCCGCAAATCGGCTATTCGACCACATCGAAAGATCTCTCCGATAAGGCACGCTACAGCACCTTCATGCGTGTCGTTCCATCTGACTACTACCAGGCCCAGGTGATGGTCGACGTGGTCCGGCAATTTAACTGGACCTACGTGTCGGCCGTCAACACCGACGGTAAGTGCGAACATTAGGTTGTAAATTTTTTATTTCACGTTTACTGTAATGATAATGCTTCCTGCACATCTCTGAGGGTTACCAGATCCGGAACACCAAACATCTGAGCAGAATATTTATTTGAATGGCAACCCTTGCAACCGGCAAACAATATTGCTTTTAAACAAAGCCTTACATTTCAGTTTCATCTTTCACATTTCTCGTTAACAGAAAACTATGGCCAGTCCGGAATTCAAGCCTTCCGTGAATTGGCAGAGAAATATGGCGTGTGTATTGCCCGAGAGGATTCGGTATGTTGGTGTTGTTTGCGACTGTCACCCTAAATATCTTACCAGTTCATTTTCGCCACCCCCCCTCCCATCAGATCCTGAGCAACGCCGAGGACGAATCGTTTTCCGATGTCCTTCGGAACATTGAACAGGACAAGAATGCCAACGTGGTGGTTTGCTTTTGCGAAGGAATGACCGTCCGCGGTTTGCTCAAAGCGATGAAAAAACTCAACATGACCGACCGGTTCCTGCTGATCGGAAGCGATGGATGGGCTGACCGACCGGATGTCGTCCAGAACTACGAACCTCAAGCGCTGGGATCGATATCGATCCGAATCCACAGTCCGTACGTGAAGTCGTTTGACGATTACTATTTCTCGCTAAATCCGTTCACCAACAAACGCAACCCGTGGTTCCGGGAGTTTTGGGAGGTAAGCTGACATCACCGACCAACCGACCGACCGACCGGAAGAGGGTGTCCTCTTTGGTAGAGCGGCTTATTGTGTTTCGTTAATTGAATATCTGTTTCTTGCTCTTTGCCATAATCGATGTGTTTATGAGTCTGTGCGGGTGGAGGGGATGATGGAGCAAATAGGGGGAAATCTTTTGTTTTCTGTGATCCCGACCGTTTGCCGCCGTCGGGCGCTCTATTGTCTGGCGGTCCGAAATCGAGCGATGCTTTATGAATGGAATGGATGGAAGCGATTATTTTAATCGCCGGGAGATGATACCTTAATCTAGACCCGGGTCGAGACGGGAGTTTTCCATCAGGAAAGATTGCGTCTAATATAACTTTTCCGATTTCCATTTGGTGGAAGGAGAACAAAGATGTTCACGTTTTATTGCTCGAGAGAAGTTGATGGACTTTAAAGAAAAAAAAAAACTAATGGTTATAATGGAAGAGCGATGATGGTAGCACAAATTTGCGAATTTTCAACACCAGAAATGGAAATCTAATTGATGCTCATTTTGGTCAAAGTTTAGATTTTCAAAAGTAGTATTTTCGTTAAGAGCCTAAATTTATAAAGAGGCGACATGTCAAAATTAGAACAATCGATTGTCTGTCAAAGTCATAGGAAAAGTCATTCCAATCGAGCAGAAGATCTGCCAAATTGATAAGATGTCGTCTCTTTATAAATTCAGGCTCTTTATATTTTCGGTGTAGGCCGAACGCCATTAAGCCAAATGCCATTAGGCCGAACGCCATTAGACCGAATGTGTCATAAGGTCAAAAGTCATTAGGCCGAATTTTAAAAAAGTAAAAGATGAATTTTCTAGCTTAAGATTATTCATAACAGTGTAGCAAACATGGAGTCAAAGACAAACAGACATAACACTCGCAAGTAGTTCATCGAACAAGCATTTAACGGTCAATTTAAACGTATCGTGATTGGTAGTACCGCCAATCAAGAAAATTTGAAGTTATAGTGCAGTCATCGGCCATATTTGGGCACCATAACGTATGTCCTAAAATTGGAATTGCCGTATAATGAAAAGTGAGCAACTATACCAATGTTGGCCTAATGACCCATTCGACCTATTGGCATTCAGCCTAATTACCCATCACCGTATTTTAATAGTACAGGATAAACTCGACAATTTTGCTAAGATGTTTGAATCCCACTTGAATCTAAATACGGTTTACAGTCGCAGGACCGTCTTTCCCTTAGCAGCTAGAACATAATGAGAGCATTCCTACATGAAGTATTCAACACCCTCTTTGAACGAACAATGCATTAAATGAAAAAAATAATATGTTTTTGATTATTATGATTGATTAGGTCATAATTAGTCAGAAGGGTAAATGAGTTTTCAATTTCGGCCAAACGAGGCTCTGAACCATTATGTATTATCCTGCAGTAATTGAGCGCTCATGATCCCCTGACTACAATAGGTAAAAGTCATCCCAAAGCCGTAATTTACTCTATATTAATTTTAGATATTTTTTAATTTTTAATTTAAATAAACAAGGAGGATACTAAAAGGAACAAACGATTCAATGAATTTTGACGATAGCTTTTGCCGGTTTTCTGTATGTGAGGGCACCAAATATGGCTATTATTTACTATAATTTACCAGTAACTCCATTTGCGTAACCGATAAAGTTTTGGCATCTTCAGCATAGTTGTGTACAATGGATTCTCGTTTTACACGATTTTGTTTGCGCAATTTTCTCGAATTTACGCGATTCTCTATCTGAAATGCACTAAGTCAATTCAATAAGTTGGATTTCTCCTCCATTCTTTAAAAATTTAGCTTGAATTTTATAAAAAAGGACCTTGTTGAATCCATAAATGATGGATTTGAGCCCTTTTCCACGCCGAGGTTAATTGGGAACGTTATCAACCTCGCAACTGTAACGCTACCCAATACTCATGCTTGAGCACCGGACCAAAATTCGCCACATGGCTCATCGCTGCAACGGTTGTGGCAAACAACTTTCAACCGAAGCATGCGAGAGAATGGAGGGGTGGTGAATAGGAGAACGTCAAAAAGAGTGTTGCGAGCAGGAGTTTTTGCTTTAAGATATAGGAAGCGGAACACTTTTTTTACTTTTCCTGATAAATTGATTCATCTGAGATGCTCCAAAACTTAATCTACAGTTGAAAAATTTAATTCTGTAACGTTTTTGCAGAGGTCCTGCTGGCGTTCAGGAATATTTTTGTTGAGAAAAATGGAAAATTAGAAAAGTGCCTTAGTGGTTATGATAGGTTATGATGTTCCGGATTTCTTGTGTGTGAATAGTTTAGGAGCAAATCAGTTGAGAACTGCGTAAAAGCGTAAAATAAGACAATCACCGATGGAAATTGGCAAGATGTTCAATGAAAAATGCTCTAATTTGGGTTGTGAAAAATTCTGCCGTCAACCAAACCGTTAGTTTACATCAGAAAAACGGTTTGGTTGACGTTTCCTCTCGAACTCGCGTGCGCACTCTACGTTGGTGGTGAATTAAAAAAGCCTATTGTGGTGCAGCTTATCGGGCTACCAGCAAGTCCAAAACGTGCCGAATTCATGGATATCCGCAAAAGGGCCGAAAGAAGGTTCTGGCACGCAACGAGCATAATTTCTCCGCCATTACCCAACGGCGTCCGATTCTGGTTCTTCCGCCGCTTCCACTCAACAACCGTTTAGCAGCTGATGCTGTTTCGATCCCGCCAACAGCTGGGGAGCATAACACTCCGGTAAACTCAAGTCGTGGAAGCATTTTGGTGCTCCCCCTTTACCAGCGATCGGGAATGAAGACATTCTGCTTTCAACGGCGGAACTTGTTACACTCGTGCCACAAGTTCTCATGATCCAGCGCACCTGCAGGATCCGAACAGAACAGTTTCATACTGCCATATCCCTCATCAATAAGTATGGACCGTGAAGCCATCAAAATTGCCAATTAGAACGCTTGCTCGCTCAGGAGCAAGAGCATCGAGTTCGTTGAATTCCTCAACGAACGAAAGATCGATATCGCCATCATCACCGAAACGCACGTGAGACCCGAGATTATCGTCTTCCTTCCCGATTTCCGGCTTGGGAGGCTGGACCGGGGGAGTAGGAGAGGCCATCTCTCTAAGGAGGAATATCAACTGTCGGCTGCTGCCGAGCTTCCAGCTGAAGATGATCGAAGCCGTAGGGGTGGAAGTTTCTACTTCTGTCGGCCCCATTACAATTGTTGCGGCTTACTACCTCAAACCAGTCAACATCAGGGATGTGTTGGCAGCAGACTTGCGAAGAGATTTTGTCAAGCTAACACGACGGCGGGAAAACTTCCGCATCGCTGGTGACCTGAGCAACAGTCGACGCAATCAAAACGGCACCATCCTGAACAACGACCTGCAGGAAGCGCAGTACTCCCACCCGGTTGAGTCAGTACAGTGTTCACGCTACCATCGATATCTTCATCAGCAACATGGGCAACAACATCGCTCAACCTATCACCTACCAGGAACTCAGCTCAGACCACAAACCGGTGGTCGTCGAAGTTGGTTCCTCGGTGAACCGATTCAAAGTTTCCCGGCGCAACTACCATCGTGTCAACTGGGATCAAGATCAACACTGCGTCGACACAACCATAGACTATGATGCCCAACCGGAGACGTTCGAAGACGTTGACCAGTGTCGGCAATCTATCGAGGAGGCAATATCCCAGGCCAGGAAACAACACGTGCCAGTATCCAGACAGGTGAGTAACACTCTGAACCTTGACGTAGACAATACCAGCGTTCTGGTTTGCCTAACTTGAAGACCAATTGTAATCGATCAACAAAGATCATTCAGGCCAGGATGGTGGATCTCAGAATTAACGATTAATAATAATAATAATATCCGCTATTCTCCCAGATTGTGAAGAGCCCTTCAGGAAACTAAGCCAAGGCCCATTCAACCACTTGTACCGTTGAATCAATCCAATGCAATGGTTCAGTCGCCCATCTGATAACGCCTGAAGAGAAGGCTGATGCTATAGATCAACACTTCGTCAGCTCTCATAATCTCGGACTGAACATGGTAAGTCCATACGATACTGCAGTTGTTGAACATGCAGCCAACCTCCATCAAATTCCCAACAATTTTCCTGCGGAATCCGAGATTAAGGCTGACGAACTGTTGGCCTATATACAGTATGCAAAAAAAGTTTATCCACCCCCCTACCAATCTACATTTTTTGTTTGTTTTTCTGGTGAAAATCAGTTTAATTTTATGAGTGTTCTTCCATGATTTATCAATTTATGTTTATTTATCACATTGCCATTGAAAATACGGCGTTTATATCTTTTCTTGAGATTTCATGTGATAAATTATGAAAAATGGTAAAAAATTACGCAAAAAAAGTTTATCCACCGAAAGTAATGCTATTTGGGTCACCATTGATACCATCAGACCATACCATCAGAAACCATAAAATTTTGGTCCATGAAATGTGGTCCTGGGCCCACTTCAATCTTTTTTTAAATTTTTTTTTTTTTGCGGACAACCATGGCTTCTTAAGAGCTACTCTGCCCTTAAGACTTTTCTTATGAAGACGATTTCGTACGGATTGTGATGTCAGTTGAATAGAAAACTCGCTTTCAATCTGTTTCGCAATTTTTCGGAGCTCATAGTCCCCGGTCCAGCTCCGCCTTCTTCACGATAGCTCTGTCAATTCGGTCAGTTGTCATTGAAGGACGCCCCGATCGCTTAGCTGGTGAGATAAAACCACGCTTTTTGTACATCTGCACAATCCTAGCGACCTTTTTTTTGTGAAGCTGGACAATATCGGCAATATCACGGTAGCTTTTGCCAGTTTTGTGATGTTCAATAATCAAATTTCGGATACTGATTGGAATTTGGGGCTTTTTTGGGCATTTTGAAACAAATAACTTCCAATTTTGAACCCCAAAATGAAATTTTGAGCATGAAAACTTCAAGAGCACTAAATGACAGATAGACACAATGTTTACAT